TCAAAGATAAGGTACTATGTTCCACAGTCAGCTCTCCTGGCACTGTACCATTCACTCTTATGCCCTTATCTTACATATGGAATTTGTGCATGGGGATCAACAACATCCAATCACCTAAAACCCCTAATAACCCGCAAAAGGCGCATAAGAATATAAAAAAATTCCCACTCCTCCCAGCTACTCCCCCAAATTTTTCAAAAGTCTAAATCTCTCAAAATTAAGAACATCCATACTTATTCAGTGCCTACTAATAACAGAACAATACACACAAATAAACCCTCCATAAAACTTTCTCACCCCCTAAACAGGACACATCCAAACACGGACACAGATCTCTTTTTAAAGTACCTGTGCCCATATTCACTGTGAAAAAAACTCTATGCACAAAAGGGGCCCCAAATATAGAATTCATTACAGAAAAAATTTTAAAAGTAACCCCAGTCTGAAAATAAATTTAAAGACTCTTCTCAAAAGCCACTTAATCACCCAGACTAAATGCTAAATACCAGTACAACTTACGCCCCCCTTTAAGTACTCCCACTCATAACTGAAACAATCACTTTGAATTTTATCCATTGTTGAAAGGGAATAAATTAAAAATTGTTTTTAAAAAAATTTCGAATAAAATAATTTTTGTATTATACAAATTTTGATTCATTTAAAATTATATTTCTGTACAACTATGAAATAATTATATCCTACTGTACAACTATGATATACTCCTTGGGTTTTAATAACTGTAATCAATAATGTTAATTTGGGCCCCATATGCCTAGGCAAAAAAAGCCCCCCCCTTTTTTTGTATTGCAACCCCTATTGAAAATCAAAATCTAATGTACTGTTTGCGCAAAATAAAAAAAAATAAATAAAGGTGAAAATTTACTTAAGATAACCCAAAAAAAGTTAGACACTGACTTTTTCCTTGGGACCGTCTATAAAATCCCTTATTTGATGTATCACATACTATCCACGGGCACAAAACTTGCCTTTGTAAGCTATGTTAAATTTCCCTTTTCCCTAATAACTTTCTTCCTACACAGACACAACAGCAACTGACAAGAAAACCCTTTTGGATGTTGTCTTTGACTTTTTTTTGGGTTATTTTCCCATGATGATAAAATATTATGTTAAATTGTGCTTAAAAAAAAACTTACAGGTAAAAAAGATATTTTGAATGTGTGAGGGAAATAATAAAAAATATTAAGTTACCCAAACCCGCAGCCTTGCCTTCCCAAACCTCCTTAAAACCCCTCCACCCAAAGCCGGTTTATTTCCCCTTTGGGGTCAGGCAAGATTCTGCAGTCCGTCCGTAAATCAGCCCCCTTCACTTGCTGGATCCATCATCTCACTCATCATGCCCACCCAAAACCCCCAAAATTTATGCGTAACAATTTTCAGTTTTCCACCTTACATCAAGTGTTTCTTTTTTTTGGGGGTTTATATGACCACTGAACTAAAAAGTTTCTTTTTCCAGATTTTGTTTTATTTTTTTGTTGGGTTTATCAGGCCACTGACACTTACGGGCCTATCGAGTCCGACTTCCGATGTATGGGATTTTTTTACCCAAAGTGGGTGATTTAAAAAAAGGGAAAGGGTTGCCCCTCCTGAAGTGCCCGGGGAAGGTAGTGAGGACAAGAGTTCCAGAGAGAGCGGGGAAAAAAATTGTCATGATACTCATGCGAATCGAGACTCCACACTTTGACTATGGCTGGGTTTGAGTCCACTGCACTATTAAAACTCTTCTGTTTGGGTTTTTTCAGGCAATTAATAGCTTACGCATCACAGTTAAAATGTTAATGCAACCCCTAAAAAAAGTGGTACTGATGCGGTATAACCGGAACCGAAAATCTAAAAATGCCCTCCTGTGGGAACAGTCAAATACACAAATAACCCGCAAATAACCCTTGCTTTGAAT